GAGGGGGGTGATAGTGGGAGGTGTGGAGGGTCAAAGGGACGGTCTGGTGTATCATCTTCGAGTACAGTACGCCTGGTTGGGGAAGCGAGCACCCAATCTGCCCACTACCCAATGGTCATAGCAGGTTAGGGGTAATAGCTGCTCCCCCTACTACTCTGCTGTCGCTCATAAATCAGGAAAAGCAAGTGTGATGCGCCCGCATTTTTTTCCCTATATAGGCTTACATAATACTAGTTTTTAACCACATTTTCTTAGTGCCCTGTAGGCTACAGAAGTTCAGTTTAGAGCCACAAACTTGGCATTTCTCATGGTAGAGTCAGTTAATATACAAGAAGATTCAGATTCAGATTCACCAGAGAAATACTCACAATCATGGCCAGTAAAATATTTCCTATACCACCCTGTCCCTCACATCCCTCGTCCACATCCTGACCTGTAGCACAAGTCCCCAACCCCTCAGTTTCATTACCAAGAGCCAGTACTTGAGGATCAATTACATTTGTAGTTCTCGTAGGAAGGGTTTGTTTTGCTGGAAGGAAGAATAAGTGGGTGCATTGGAAATCTCTTTGGGAAAAGGAAAAAATGCGGGCGCGTCACCTCTGCTGGAGCGTCACACTTGCTTTTCCCGATTATGAGCGATAGCGAAATAGGAGGGGAACCGGCTATTATTGGCTCGCGGCTAATCAGAGGGTTGAGTGCTATGGACGGCCTGACGACAACGCATAGAGCCATGGTGTCCATTACCTTTGAACACAGGCAGTCCTAACGGTATGGTACCTGAGTAGAAGAACTATGCTTTGATAAGTCACTCTTCACACGAGACGGCCGCTAGCTTTAAGGGAGAACGGGGAAACAGCACAATTCCAAATTTCTCCACTGATTGAGTTTGTCACTTTTTGTTTTTTCTCTGGTTTGCCGGGAAGGAAGCGCGGCCACCGTACCCTATAATACTAGCTAGAGGGCGGCTGCCGCAATAAATACCGGCGAAGCACAAGAAGCCCCCCACTTGGTTCCGTGTGCTGGAGGAGAATGCAGACCAGGTAATTCATCCACCCCACTATATGAGACGAGTTGTTTTTTTGCCCTTCTCTGACTCTGAAATCCACGTCCACATCAAAACCTGTGATAGGAAAGCACTATCTAGCAATTTAGAGCTACCCCCAACACTTGGCCCTCGGAGAGATACCGTGGTGTTATTGATTCGAGGGGTCTGTTTATCCTGTCGTAGCCCCACCAATCCGCCGGACCGCTCTGGATATTTTGCGTCGTGCAGATCGAAAATCATGGTCTGCGTGGGTGTCCTGGCCCGATAAGGTATCATGGGGAGCCATGTCCATTGGCGGGGTTTGGTGATGCACTAGGGCTGTATCTGCATATTGGTTGGTCTTCATCACTGACGAGTGCCGATATGATATGAAATGAATACCTGTATCCTTGTTTATTTATGCGAGGTTAGCCGAGTTGCCGAGTGCCACTTGGACTGTTTCATGCTTTCAGTAAAGGGATG